AACTGACCACAGAAACTGTCAGGTCTCAACAACTGACCACAGAAACTGTCAGGTCTCAACAACTGACCACACAAACTGCCAGGACTCAACAACTGACCACAGAAACTGTCAGGTCTCAACAACTGACCACACAAACTGCCAGGACTCAACAACTGACCACACAAACTGTCAGGTCTCAACAACTGACCACACAAACTGTCAGGACTCAACAACTGACGACACAAACTGTCAGGTCTCAACAACTGACCACAGAAACTGTCAGGACTCAACAACTGACCACAGAAACTGTCAGGTCTCAACAACTGACCACACAAACTGCCAGGACTTAACAAATGACCACAGAAATGTTCAGGTCTCAACAACTGACCACACAGAAACTGTCAGGTCTCAACAACTGACCACAGAAACTGTCAGGACTCAACAACTGACCACAGCAACTGTTAGGTCTCAACAACTGACCACACAAACTGCCAGGACTCAACAACTGTCCACACAAACTGTCAGGTCTCAACAACTGACCACAGAAACTGTCAGGACTCAACAACTGACCACAGAAACTGTTAGGTCTCAACAACTGACCACACAAACTGCCAGGACTCAACAACTGACCACACAAACTGTCAGAACTCAACAACTGACCACACAAACTGTCAGGTCTCAACAACTGACCACAGAAACTGTCAGGACTCAACAACTGACCACACAAACTGTCAGGTCTCAACAACTGACCACACAAACTGCCAGGACTTAACAACTGACCACAGAAACTTTCAGGTCTCAACAACTGACCACACAAACTGTCATGTCTCAACAACTGACCACAGAAACTGACAGGACTCAACAGTTGACCACACAAACTGTCCCCACTCACAAGACATAAAGTAAGGGCCTGAAAGACTTTGGCGGAAACTTTGGTTATATTTGTGGCTGTCTCTTCCTTTGCTTTCCTGAGCTTTCTAGTCACATATTATGTTTCATTCAGAACATCAGCGGACACCAACAGAATATCAGCAGACACCAACAGAACATCAGCAGACACCAAAAGAACATCAGCAGACCAACAACAGAACATCAGCAGACACCAACAGAACATCAGCAGACACCAACAGAACATCAGCAGACACCAACAGAACATCAGCAGACACCAACAGAACATCAGCAGACCAACAACAGAACATCAGCAGACCAACAACAGAACATCAGCAGACCAACAACAGAACATCTGCAGACCAACAACAGAACATCAGCAGACACCAACAGAACATCAGAGGACACCAACAGAACATCAGCAGACCAACAACAGAACATCAGCGGACACCAACAGAACATCAGCGGACACCAACAGAACATCAGCAGACACCAACAGAACATCAGCGGACACCAACAGAACATCAGCGGACACCAACAGAACATCAGTGGACACCAACAGAACATCAGCGGACACCAACAGAACATCAGCGGACACCAACAGAACATCAGCGGACACCAACAGAACATCAGCGGACACCAACAGAACATCAGCGGACACCAACAGAACATCAGCGGACACCAACAGAACATCAGCGGACACCAACAGAACATCAGCGGACACCAACAGAACATCAGCGGACACCAACAGAACATCAGCAGACACCAACAGAACATCAGCAGACACCAACATAACATCAGCAGACACCAACAGAACATCAGCAGACATTCGGGGGCATATCATTGGTGAACAAAGCAATTCCAGTAAGGACATGCAGACAGTAAACAGACAACATTTCCAATATCCTGGCTATTCTCAACAACTGTCTGAGGTTTACACAACTGTCTGAGGTTTACACAACTGTCTGAGGTTTACACAACTGTCTGAGGTTTACACAACTGTCTGAGGTTTACACAACTGTCTGAGGTTTACACAACTGTCTGAGGTTTACACAGCTGTCAACAATACAACAAATTAATACTGAAAAAAGAGCAGCAGAAGCAACAGAGGTGAAATAAACGAAAGCAGATGATCAGTATTCAGATACCTGAAAGACAATAACAATAATGGTGGCAACAGATATACAGTGGAACACAATGGCTTAACTTGACAAAGCAGCCCAACAAAATAATTAAATTGTCTTAGCTAGTTGTATACTAGCTGTGACTAAAATAAACTCAGTTGTTAATTCACTGAAAGTTACGTTGGCCTTGTCTACATTACGTTGGCCTTGTCTACATTACGATGGCCTTGTCTACATTACGTTGGCCTTGTCTACATTATGATGGCCTTGTCTACATTATGATGGCCTTGTCTACATTATGATAGCCTTGTCTACATTATGATGGCCTTGTCTACATTATGATAGCCTTGTCTACATTATGATGGCCTTGTCTACATTGCGATGGCCTTGTCCATATTATGATGGCCTTGTCTACTAATTAAACCAACCCAGAATCTTTACTGATGTGTTTTTGGATTGTCAGACAACCAGGACATTCTTTCTTGTCTTTACTTCTCAAAACTCCAGTTCAATACTGTTGGCCAAGTTGGAGTTTATCATTGCTTTCACTTGGACACAGCAGACAATGAATATCTGGCAAGTGTAAACTAAACTTCCTATGCTCAAGGATGGGCTCATGAACTTGCCAACAAGTGCAATTGGGAAGTTTCATGAAATACAAACATAAATGGTCATTAGGAGATGTGTTTCATGAAATACAACAACAAATAAGAATCAGGAGGTATGTTTCATGAAGTATGAACACAAATGGCATCAGATGGCTTTTCTTAACCTCAAATATACGCAGTCAACTGTAGACACAAATGAAAATAGACACCTGCGACAAATATACAAATAATCTTACATACTCATAAGTGTACAGCTAGACTTTCTTTCGTAAGGGTTCAATCTTCAAACAGGACATAAAGAAAGCCAGTGAAAGAATGTTCACAGCAGTAATAACAATTGGCAGACAATAAGACTCCAGAGTAAAACAAAACTAACTGAATATAACAAAAGTGAACCAAAAACCTGAAGTCTGGTACTTACTGTGAAATCACTGAGTCCAAACAGGCAACGTTTCCTGTGAGTAAGATGGGTGCTGTGCAGGTTGTATTTCTGTACAGAACATCCTGGTGATTGACCGGCAACTGGACATGGATTCTGCATCTACTACAGTATCAGGCAATGTCTTCTGCAGGCCAAACCTTGCCCAGCCATGTCAGACTAGGTCTCAAACTCTGTGCTCATGTAAAATTTCTTGTCAACATGTATGTGTGTGTAACACAGCAGATGTGCGGGTGCATCCAAGTGGGGCAGCAGCAGTGGCAAATGGATTCAACTCACTCCATTTAGTTGTGGTTACTCCAACATGTCCTTACTGCCAGTTCTCCGACAAAATTCTGGCATACAACTGGGATTTAGACTACTAGGTCGCAGAAATATTGCTCTTTACTTACTGCAAGAGAGACAGTCATTTCACGTGTTGCTGCAGCTATGACGTGCTTGCTGACAGAGTAGCCACAAAGCCCTCAATATTTAACTGCAACTGTTGGCAATAGGTCAGAAGTCTGTGAACTGCAGCTGGGTTCTCCCTCGTGACTTCAAACAGCAGAAGCTGAAAGGCAAAGGCCAAAGAAATATATCAGACTGAAACAGGTCACACTAGTTCAAGGAGAAAGTTGTCCAACCATGTGGAGCAATAACTTCACAACTAGGTCAAATGAGTCTTTAGTCATTTACACAACTAGGACATGTGACCTCATGTTACCTAGTTGTGGGATTTAATATAGACTCATCTGAACTAGAATGTAAAGTAGATATTTTGTGTCAAAATGAATGTAAAGTAAATATTGCGTGTCAAGTAGAAGGTAAAGTGGACATTGTGTGTCAAGTAAAAGGTAGAGTGGACATTGTGTGTCAAGTAGAAGGTAGAGTGGACATTGTGTGTCAAGTAGAAGGTAGAGTGGACATTGTGTGTCAAGTAGAAGGTAAAGTGGACATTGTGTGTCAAGTAGAAGGTAGAGTGGACATTGTGTGTCAAGTAGAAGGTAGAGTGGACATTGTGTGTCAAGTAGAAGGTAGAGTGGACATTGTCTGTCAAGTAGAAGGTAGAGTGGACATTGTGTGTCAAGTAGAAGGTAGAGTGGACATTGTGTGTCAAGTAAAAGGTAGAGTGGACATTGTGTGTCAAGTAGAAGGTAGAGTGGACATTGTGTGTCAAGTAGAAGGTAAAGTGGACATTGTGTGTCAAGTAGAAGGTAGAGTGGACATTGTATGTCAAGTAGAAGGTAGAGTGGACATTGTGTGTCAAGTAGAAGGTAAAGTGGACATTGTGTGTCAAGTAGAAGGTAGAGTGGACATTGTGTGTCAAGTAGAAGGTAGAGTGGACATTGTGTGTCAAGTAGAAGGTAGAGTGGACATTGTATGTCAAGTAGAAGGTAGAGTGGACATTGTGTGTCAAGTAGAAGGTAGAGTGGACATTGTGTGTCAAGTAGAAGGTAAAGTGGACATTGTATGTCAAGGAGAAGGTAGAGTGGACATTGTGTGTCAAGTAGAAGGTAGAGTGGACATTGTGTGTCAAGTAGAAGGTAGAGTGGACATTGTGTGTCAAGGAGAAGGTAGAGTGGACATTGTGTGTCAAGGAGAAGGTAGAGTGGACATTGTGTGTCAAGTAGAAGGTAGAGTGGACATTGTGTGTCAAGGAGAAGGTAGAGTGGACATTGTGTGTCAAGGAGAAGGTAAACTTGTAACCAAATCTGTGTTTCTGGTGTGACAGCCCCTCAAAGCAAGGATGAAACAACTATAATATCCCATGGCATCCCATAAAAGGCTGAATTGGATACATTCTACACACTGGTTATTCCAGAACAACTGAAACTGGGAAACTATTATAATATATATATATCTGTTTTACAAAATATAAATGCATGGATAGAGACGGGGTGTGGAGGTGTGGGCGTGGCGTACTTAATTGTTAGGGATGTAATAGAACAAACAGAAAAACAAAACAAAACAGAAAATTATTACATCTTTCCAGGCAGATACAGCAAGGGGCATGGTCTCCACACTGGCAACCAACAGGTTCTCCACCTGTCAACAGAAAACAGATGGCTCATGTCTGTCTTATACACTCTCGTTTAATGACACAACTAAACACTGGTCAGGTACACACAACTAAACACTGGTCAGGTACACACAACTAAACACTGGTCAGGTACACATAACTAAACACTGGTCAGGTACACACAACTAAACACTGGACAGGTACACACAACTAAACACTGGACAGGTACACACAACTAAACACTGGACAGGTACACACAACTAAACACTGGTCATGTACACACAACTAAACACTGGTCAGGTACACACAACTAAACACTGGTCAGGTACACACAACTAAACAGTGGTCAGGTACACACAACTAAACACTGGTCATGTACACAACTAAACACTGGTCAGGTACACACAACTAAACACTGGTCAGGTACACACAACTAAACACTGGTCAGGTACACACAACTAAACACTGGTCATGTACACACAACTAAACACTGGTCATGTACACACAACTAAACACTGGACAGGTACACACAACTAAACACTGGTCAGGTACACACTAAAACTACACACAAACTAAACTGGTCAGTACACACAACTAAACACTGGTCACTGTACACACACTAAACACTGGTCATGTACACTAAAAACACTGGTCATGTACACACAACTAAACACTGGTCATGTACACACAACTAAACACTGGTCATGTACACACAACTAAACACTGGTCATGTACACACAACTAAACTAAACTGGTCATGTACACACAACTAAACACTGGTCATGTACACACAACTAAACACTGGTCATGTACACACAACTAAACACTGGTCATGTACACACAACTAAACACTGGTCATGTACACACAACTAAACACTGGTCATGTACACACAACTAAACACAGGTACACACAACTAAACACTGGTCAGGTACACACAACTAAACACTGGTCATGTACACACAACTAAACACTGGTCATGTACACACAACTAAACACTGGTCATGTACACACAACTAAACACTGGTCATGTACACACAACTAAACACTGGTCAGGTACACACAACTAAACACTGGTCAGGTACACACAACTAAACACTGGTCAGGTACACACAACTAAACAGTGGTCAGGTACACACAACTAAACACTGGTCAGGTACACACAACTAAACACTGGTCAGGTACACACAACTAAACACTGGTCAGGTACACACAACTAAACACTGGTCAGGTACACACAACTAAACACTGGGGATATACAAAACTAAATACAAAAGTGCTTACCTCCCGTGGTGTGCCCTCCACTTGAGCTAGAGCAGTGGCCCTGAAATCAGAAAAAAACAAACACATGATAACAAGATCTTCCAACACTGATGAGACAATGACAAGAGTAGACTCAAATCTTTTAACACTGATGAGACAATGACAAGAGTAGACTCAAATCTTTTAACTTTGATGAGACAATGACAAGAGTAGACTCAAATCTTTTAACTTTGATGAGACAATGACAAGAGTAGACACATATCTTTTAACTTTGATGAGACAATGACAAGAGTAGACACATATCTTTTAACTTTGATGAGACAATGACAAGAGTAGACTCAAATCTTTTAACACTGATGAGACAATGACAAGAGTAGACTCAAATCTTTTAACTTTGATGAGACAATGACAAGAGTAGACTCAAATCTTTTAACTTTGATGAGACAATGACAAGAGTAGACACATATCTTTTAACTTTGATGAGACAATGACAAGAGTAGACACATATCTTTTAACTTTGATGAGACAATGACAAGAGTAGACTCAAATCTTTTAACTTTGATGAGACAATGACAAGAGTAGACTCATATCTTTTAACTTTGATGAGACAATGACAAGAGTAAACTCATATCTTTTAACACTGATGAGACAATGACAAGTATAGACTGAAATCTTCCAACACTGTTGAGACAATGACAAGTGTTGACTGAAATCTTCCAACACTGAAGAGACAATGACAAGTGTAGACTGACATCTTTCAACACTGATGAGACAATGACAAGAGTAGACTCACATTTTCCAACATTGATGAGACAATGACAAGTGAAGACTCACATTTTCCAACATTTATGAGACAATGAAAAGTGAAGACTCACATTTTCCAACATTGATGAGGCAATGACAAGTGAAGACTCACATTTTCCAACATTGGTGAGACAATGAAAAGTGTAGACTCATATCTTTCAACATTGATGAGACAACGACAAGTGTAGACTCACATCTTTGAACAATAGGACAATGACAAAAGTAGACAGATCTGTCAACACTGAGACAACAACAAGTGTAGACTTACAGCTTCCAGAACGCCAGGTTAGCTGGTCTGTCCCTCTGAGCTGCCACATAGCGACACCAACTGTAGGCTCTCCTTGTCATCCGCTGGCCAAGACTCAGCTCAATGGCTCTGAGATAAAGCAACAGATGGCAGCTCCCTTTAAGTTACAAATGTTTGCTAATGCAACACAACACCAGATGATTTCACTAATTTTCCAAGGATTTCACTAATCATTCATACAATGCTAGAGGATTTCAGTCATAATTCAAAAAATCACCTAGAGGATTTCAGTCATCATTCATACAATGCTAGAGGATTTCAGTCATCATTCATACAATCACCTAGAGGATTTCAGTCATCATTCATACAATTACCTAGAGGATTTCAGTCATCATTCATACAATCACCTAGAGGATTTCAGTCATCATTCAAACAATCATCTAGAGGATTTCAGTCATCATTCATACAATCACCTAGAGGATTTCAGTCATCATTCATACAATCACCTAGAGGATTTCAGTCATCATTCATACCACACTGGTGGATTTGACTCATCACTCACACATCACTACAGGAATTCTTTTTTTTCTTTCATTACCTGAAATAGATTGTCTATATCTGCAATGTTGTTTCTAGTATGAAATTCATTGTTCGCGTGAGCTAATGGATTTAATTCACCCTTCAGACATCAATACAGGATTTCACTCACCCTTTAAACATCACTACATGATTTGGCTCATCATTTACATGATCCTAGAGCAGTGTTTCATAAACTGTCATAGGCCATCGCTATTGTTTCATTGTTAGAAACAACCCCCCCCCCCCCCTTTCCACAAACAGCATTATCAAGAACTCAGCTGACAAGCAAAGGTGGTGATCATTCATCACCCTACACGATCAGCAGAATTACAGATCAGGTCAATGCACTTGTCCCACCCAATACATGCACTCAAGCCATCAGTTTATCTATTTCTTTGCTTTGCCCCGTCCTCATTCAATCAACTGTGCCAGTTATCAAGAGTCTGTTCTTCATACAACATGTAATTTTTATCTTCTTTCCAGTTTAACTGCACAGATTGTTTTCAAAGTATCTTTGGTGTTTTAAAGCCCTGAAACAAATAGGGGCTGCATGTCTGTCTATTTCCAGGGACAGCAAAATAGGCTGGAACTGACTGTTGGACTTGTTTCTGTTTTGCTGGTGACCGTTCTCATGTTTTTTGCTAAACTACATTAAACCAGGTTTATTCAAATGCCCCCCCCCCCCCCCCCCCCCACCTTTTCCAGGTGGCTTATTTTTTTTTAATTCAAAGCACCTCCACTGCACTTGATGTTACTATCACCATATACCACCCAGCAAATCCCTTGACTCTGTGTCTGTTCTCCTAAAGTTCATATACCACCCACCAAATCAACCCACTCTGCGTCTGTTCTCCCAAAGTTCCTCTCACACCCACCAAAACTCTACACTCTGTGTCTCTCTTACTCTCCAAACCTGAGTAACAGCTGGACATTGTTAGGCATGAAGGACAAGGACATCTCCATCAGGTCAAGGCTATCTTCTGGTGACAACACTGACAACCAGGCCTCCACCAGGCGGTTGCTATGGTAATAATCCACCCAGGTGGCAGAGGGAAGTGAAGAGAACGGTACAGGGAACTTGACAGGCATTGAGATCAATGAGCGCATGACCATTTCTTGAATGTCCTTCAGAGATGATCCACGTCTCGCCAGATAGAATATGTAGCTGAAGAAAGAAGAAAAACATCAGTCAATACAAGGTGATGTGTTGGAGTAAAACCAACATCAGTCAATACAGGGTGATGTGCTAGAGTAAAACCAACATCAGTCAAAACAAGGTGATGTGCTGGAGTAAAACCAACATCAGTCAAAACAAGGTGATGTGCTGGAGTAAAACCAACATCAATCAATACAAGGTGATGTGCTGGAGTAAAACCAACATCAGTCAAAACAAGGTGATGTGCTGGAGTAAAACCAACATCAGTCAAAACAAGGTGATGTGCTGGAGTAAAACCAACATCAGTCAATACAAGGTGATGTGCTGGAGTAAAACCAACATCAGTCAATACAAGGTGATGTGCTAGAGTAAAACCAACATCAGTCAAATCAAGGTAATGTGCTGGAGTAAAACCAACATCAGTCAATACAAGGTGATGTGTTAGAGTAAAACCAACATCAGTCAATACAAGGTAATGTGTTGGAGTAAAACCAACATCAGTCAATACAAGGTGATGTGCTTGAGTAAAACCAACATCAGTCAATAATAGGTGATGTGCTGGAGTAAAAACAACATCAGTCAATACAAGGTGATGTGCTAGAGTAAAACCAACATCAGTCAATACAAGGTGATGTGCTTGAGTAAAACCAACATCAGTCAATACAAGGTGATGTGCTGGAGTAAAACCAACATCAGTCAATACAAGGTGATGTGCTGGAGTAAAACCAACATTAGTCAATACAGGGTGATGTGCTGGAGTAAAACCAACATTAGTCAATACAGGGTGATGTGCCAGAGTAAAACCAACATCAGTCAATACAAGGTGATGTACTAGAGTAAAACCAAAATGAGTCAAAACATGGTGATGTGCTGGAGTAAAACCAACATCAGTCAATACAAGGTGATGTGCTGGAGTAAAACCAACATCAGTCAATACAGGGTGATGTGCTGGAGTAAAACCAACATCAGTCAATATGAGTTTATGTGTTAGAGCACTCGTGTCTGGCCACATTCCTTTAACATGTTGTTGTTGCAGAAATTCAGAGTCATTACTTGATTCTCGCAAACGTCTTACTTCTAGTTGAACATTCAGAATTTCAGCACAGTTCATTGCTCGTCTGCCTTCTACAGCAGCTTTACAAGCCAAAATCAGACTGCTCATTTCCTAAGTAAAACCAACTCAGATTTACTGGATCCATCAGTCAATATACAATAGTGCAGCACCCCCGTGTGGGTTCTGGGTCCCCATTGTGGGGAAAACAAGAATAGACCCACTGCCTCCCCAAAAGCATGTGACAAGAGTCGACTAATTGGGGAGCTTCCTTTGAAGTCGGAGTGCATCTGCCGGAGAGGCAAGGAACCAACAGTCTGTATTCAAGAGAATAAGATCTGTAAAACTGATGCACACGCAACACTCAGATTCTGGAGCAGGACTGCAGTTCAGTAGTGGACGAGCAACCAGAACTTTCGGCCAGAGTTTACAGCTGGTGAACGCGAAGAAGAAGAAGAATAGTGCAGTAGAATTTACACAAGAAGTTGACCACTGTAGACAACCTGTTAGGCAACAACACCCTGTACCTTGTACACCGGTGCAGCCATGCTATACTTGGTACACTATTTCAGCTATTCTGTACTTGGTACACTGGTGCAGCCATGCTTAAACAGATGGATTCAAACATGAGCTTCTAGAGCAATAGCTCTCATCCTTCTAATGCCTTGACCCTTTAATACAGTTCTCACATGTTGTGGCTACCCTTCAATACAGTTCTCTCATGTTGTGGCGGTTCTTTAATTTAGTTCTCACATGTTGTGGCTACCCTTCAATACAGTTCTCTCATGTTGTGGCTACCCTTCAATACAGTTCTCTCATGTTGTGGCCACCCTTTAATACAGTTCTCTCATGTTGTGGCTACCCTTTAATACAGTTCTCTCATGTTGTGGCCACCCTTTAATACAGTTCTCTCATGTTGTGCTACCCTTTAATACAGTTCTCTCATGTTGTGGCGACCCTTTAATACAGTTCTCTCATGTTGTGGCTACCCTTTAATACAGTTCTCTCATGTTGTGGCTACCCTTCAACACAGTTCTCTCATGTTGTGGTGACCCTTTAACACACTTCTCTCATGTTGTGGTGACCCTTTAATACAGTTCTCTCATGTTGTGGCTACCCTTCAACACAGTTCTCTCATGTTGTGGCTACCCTTCAACACACTTCTCTCATGTTGTGGTGACCCTTTAATACAGTTCTCTCATGTTGTGGCTACCCTTTAATACAGTTCTCTCATATTGTGGCTACTCTTTAATACAGTTCTCTCATGTTGTGGCTACCCTTTAATACAGTTCTCTCATGTTGTGGCTACCCTTTAATACAGTTCTCTCATGTTGTGGCTACCCTTTAATACAGTTCTCTCATGTTGTGGCTACCCTTTAATACAGTTCTCTCATGTTGTGGCGACCCTTCAACACAGTTCTCTCATGTTGTGGCGACCCTTTAATACAGTTCTCTCATGTTGTGGCTACCCTTTAATACAGTTCTCTCATGCTGTGGCGGTTCTTTAATTTAGTTCTCTCATGTTGTGGCGACCCTTTAATATAGTTCTCTCATGTTGTGGTGACCCTTTAATACAGTTCTCTTATGTTGTGGCGACCCTTTAATACAGTTCTCTCATGTTGTGGTGACCCTTTAATACAGTTCTCTCATGTTGTGGTGACCCTTTAATACAGTTCTCTCATGTTGTGGCTGCCCTTCAATACAGTTCTCTCATGTTGTGGCTACCCTTCAATACAGTTCTCTCATGTTGTGGTGACCCTCTAATACATTTCTCTCATGTTGTGGCTAGCCTTCAATACAGTTCTCTCATGTTGTGGCTACCCTTTAATACAGTTCTCTCATGTTGTGGCGACCCTTTAATACAGTTCTCTTATGTTGTGGTGACCCTTTAATGCAATTCTCTCATGTTGTGGCTACCCTTCAATACAGTTCTCTCATGTTGTGGCTACCCTTTAATAGAGTTCTCTCATGTTGTGGCTACCCTTCAATACAGTTCTCTCATGTTGTGGTGACCCTCTAATACATTTCTCTCATGTTGTGGCTACCCTTCAATACAGTTCTCTCATGTTGTGGCTACCCTTTAATAGAGTTCTTTCATGTTGTGGCTACCCTTCAATACAGTTCTCTTATGTTGTGGTGACCCTTTAATACAGTTCTCTCATGTTGTGGTGACCCTTTAATACAGTTCTCACATGTTGTGGTGACCCTTTAATACAGTTCTCTTATGTTGTGGGGACCCTCAAACAATTATTTTTCTTCTTAACTTTAATGAATATGTGTTTTCCGACAAAAAGGGTCATTACTTGCAGGTTGAGAACCACTGATCTAAAGGTTTCACATTAGATAGAATAGAATTTAATGATGCACTTACTGCTGCCAAACAAGAGTCAAATCGCTGGGCGTCTGAGCATGGGTAAGCGAGCTTTCCAACACCTCTAAGACATCTTCTGTCTTGTCCTGTAGCTGCAGCTCCACCAACAGGCTGGAACAGAAGGCAACCACTTAACATACAACAGCAGCACTGCTGGACAGTCCCACTCAAGGGCACACCTATAACTATACATTATACCTGTTTACATTACATACTACCCATTATAGATTACACATTACCTATCTATATTACTCATCCAGACTACATACTATCCATCTAGATTACATATAACTTTCCATCTAGATTAAACACTATCTATCAACACATTTTATATCTAGTTTAAACATTACCTGTCTAAAATACAAATTAACTACCTAGATTATAGATTACACATCTAGGTTACAGATGACCTACCCAGGTTACAGATGACCTACCCAGGTTACAGATGACCTACCCAGGTTACAGATGACCTACCCAGGTTACAGATGACCTACCCAGGTTACAGATGACCTACCCAGGTTACAGATGACCTACCCAGGTTACAGATGACCTACCCAGGTTACAGATGACCTACCCAGGTTACAGATGACCTACCCAGGTTACAGATGACCTACCCAGGTTACAGATGACCTACCCAAGTTACAGATGACCTACCCAAGTTACAGATGACCTACCCAGGTTACAGATGACCTACCCAGGTTACAGATGACCTACCCAGGTTACAGATGACCTACCCAGGTTACAGATGACCTACCCAGGTTACAGATGACCTACCCAGGTTACAGATGACCTACCCAGGTTACAGATTACCTACCCAGGTTACAGATGACCTAACTAGAGCATGGGTTGAGGCCAGATTTGAAGACGAGGTAGTCACTCAGCATACAAATGTTGCATACATTCTGTAAGATGTGTGTGTGGGTTTATATGTGTGTGTGAACGTTTTAAAAACGTTTTATGAAGTATGCACATGACTACACACACACACACAAGTATATATATAAATATATATATCAATATATCCACACACAAAGATGCACATAGACAGACCCACACAAACAGACATAAGCACACACACACACAAGCTACCTGTAACACAGCCACATGTACACATCCCGGGTCAGACCGTCTGCCAGCCCTTCCTTGAGCGGAGCCTTGCGTAAAGTGAATGCCTCCTCTTGTTTTAGCAACTGGCTGAAAGCACAAGTAAGCATATGTCATAATAAAAAAAAAAAAACCACACCCTGCCAAATATACAAGAGTCAATCATAAGACATTACAACAAGACATGTAAACAAAAGATTACATAAGAACAGTAACTCATCATCACCTACCATCTATACCATTTACCAGAATAGGCTAGAATATCATAACTGATAACGGTCCCAGACATAAGGGCTAACACAAGACCACTAACAAAACAGACAGTGTCAACCCATTGCACTGAGATGTCATAACAGATATCTGTCTCACTGTGAATGAGATACCATGGAATAAGTAAGATCTATGCTTGTAACCTGGCACTTCTGGTTGGTGCCATGTCATCAAAACCTGGCACTTCTGGTTGGTGCTATGTCCCCATAACCTGGTTTGTGATATGTCCCCCTAACCTGGCACTTCTGGTTGGTGATATGTCCCCGTAACCTGGCACTTCTGGTTGGTGCCATGTTCCCGTAACCTGGCACTTCTGGTTGGTGCCATGTTCCCGTAACCTGGCACTTCTGGTTGGTGCCATGTTCCCGTAACCTGGCACTTCTGGTTGGTGCCATGTTCCCGTAACCTGGCATTTCTTGTTGGTGATATATCCCAATAACCTGGCACTTCTGGTTGGTGATATGTCCCATTAACCTAGCACGTCTGGTTGGTGATATGTCCCAGTAACCTGGCACTTCTGGTTGGTGATATGTCCCCGTAACCTGGCACTTCTGGTTGGTGATATGTCCCCGTAACCTGGCACTTCTGGTTGGTGATATGTCCCCGTAACCTGGCACTTCTGGTTGGTGATATGTCCCCATAACAGCCATGTTCCCAGCTCATGATGGTGGCTTAGCTAATAGAATTCTGACTGACACCTGTGTAAACATTTACTAACATTTACTAAAACTAACATTCTTGTTAGAAGTTTGCTTGTTGATAACTGTTGTGATAAGAGATCAAATATTATTTCTGAACATTTTTGTTATCTGGCGATGAGATCACAGGGTCAAGCAATTGTTATGCTAGAATTTATTTTCAAGGCTGAAAGAAAGATAAGCCAGTTAATTCTCTACTGCAATGATTTACTCTGTTTATTCCCCTTCATCTGCATGGTATTTGTTGTGTTTGGGGTCCATACATTGATTGTGTGTGAGTTTTTATTCGTGTAAAATGATGAAATCATGGGGGAGAAGATTTCAATGTTTACCTGTAGAGCTGACAGCAATCATGGGGGAGAAGATTTCTATGTTTACCTGTAGAGCTGACAACAATCATGGGGGAGAAGATTTCTATGTTTACCTGTAGAGCTGACAACAATCATGGGGGAGATTTCTATGTTTACCTGTAGAGCTGACAGCAATCATGGGGGAGAAGATTTCTATGCTTACTTGTAGAGCTGACAACAATCATGGGGGAGAAGATTTCTATGTTTACCTGTAGAGCTGACAGCAAACATGGGGAAGATTTCTATGTTTACCTGTAGAGCTGACAACAATCATGGGGGAAAAGATTATGTTTACCTGTAGAGCTGACAACAATCATGGGGGAGAAGATTTCTATGTTTACCTGTAGAGCTGACAACAATCATGGGGGAGAAGATTTCTATGTTTACCTGTAGAGCTGACAGCAATCATGGGGGAGAAGATTTCTATGTTTACCTGTAGAGTTGACAGCAATCATGGAGGAGAAGATTTCTATGTTTACCTGTAGAGCTGACAACAATCATGGGGGAGAAGATTTCTATGTTTACCTGTAGAGCTGACAACAATCATGGGGGAGAAGACTTCTATGTTTACCTGTAGAGCTGACAGCAATCATGGGGAAGATTTCTATGTTTACCTGTAGAGCTGACAACAATCATGGGGGAGAAGATTTCAAAGTTTACCTGTAGAGCTGACAACAATCATGGGAGAGAAGATTTCTATGTTTACCTGTAGAGCTGACAGCAATCATGAGGGAGATTTCTATGTTTACCTGTAGAGCTGACAGCAATCATGGGGGAGAAGATTTCTATGTTTACCTGTAGAGCTGACAACAATCATGAGGGAGAAGATTTCAAAGTTTACCTGTAGAGCTGACAACAATCATGGGAGAGAAGATTTTTATGTTTACCTGTAGAGCTGACAGCAATCATGGGGGAGAAGATTTCTATGTTTACCTGTAGAGCTGAAAGCAATCATGAGGGAGATTTCTATGTTTACCTGTAGAGCTGACAGCAATCATGGGGGAGAAGATTTCTATGTTTACCTGTAGAGCTGACAACAATCATGGGGGAGAAGATTTCTATGTTTACCTATAGAGCTGACAGCAATCATGGGGGAGAAAATTTCTATGTTTACCTGTAGAGCTGACAGCAATCATGGGGAAGAAAATTTCTGGAGCTAACGTCAAAGTGACCCAGAGCAAACTGCTGCAGATTGTTCAAGGCCACTTCTGCTTCACCCTGTGAGATTGATACAGAAAATAATTATGATTTACAATCAAATGAGCAGGTTATAAATGTCTCTTCAAGAACAAGGACAGGAAGGTCATACATGTGATGTACAAGTATTGGTCCTTTTCAGAGCTGGTGGCACATGTGTACAAAGTTGTTTGACTTTCAGAGACACGTGTAAAAAGTCAACTTGACTTTCCCTCACATGTGTACAAAGTCATCTGACTAGCCCTGACATGTGTACAAAGTCATGTGACTTGTCTGGTCAATTGTTTGATTTGTCTGGACACATGTGTACACAGTCAACTGACCTGCCCTGACCATGTGTACACAGTCATCTGACCTGCCCTAACCAAGTGTGCACAGTCATCTGACCTGCTCTGACACATGTGTACAGTCATCTGACCTGCCCTGACATGTGTACACAGTCATCTGACCTGCTCTGACACATGTGTACAGTCATCTGACCTGCCCTGACCATGTGTACACAGTCATCTGACCTGCCCTGACCAAGTGTGCACAGTCATCTGACCTGCCCTGACCATGTGTACACAGTCCTCTGACCTGCCCTGACACATGTGTACAGTCATCTGACCTGCCCTGACATGTGTACACAGTCATCTGACCTGCCCTGACACATGTGTACAGTCATCTGACCTGCCATGACACAAGTGTACAGTCATCTGACCTGCCCTGACACATGTGTACACAGTCATCTGACCTGCCCTGATACAAGTGTACACAGTCATCTGACCTCCCCTGACACATGTGTACACAGTCATCTGACCTGCCCTGACACAAGTGTACACAGTCATCTGACCTGCCCTGACACAAGTGTACACAGTCATCTGACCTGCCCTGACACAAGTGTACACAGTCATCTGACCTGGCCTGACACAAGTGTACACAGTCATCTGACCTGCCCTGACACATGTGTACACAGTCATCTGACCTGCCCTGACACAAGTGTACACAGTCATCTGACCTGCCCTGACACATGTGTACACAGTCATCTGACCTGCCCTGATACAAGTGTACACAGTCATCTGACCTGCCCTGACACATGTGTACACAGTCATCTGACCTGCCCTGACACATGTGTACACAGTCATCTGACCTGCCCTGACACAAGTGTACACAGTCATCTGACCTGCCCTGACACATGTGTACACAGTCATCTGACCTGCCCTGACACATGTGTACAGTCATCTGACCTGCCCTGACAAATGAACTTAATTCTGGCTTACTCATACTCTCCTCTGATTGCCTGATGTACATGATTACTAAGTATTATGATGACTGTATAATCTCTCAGAGAACGAGTACATTATCCATGGAATTCACCATCAGACAGAAATAAGAACAAACAGTGCACATCAAGGAATCTCACAAACAAGAGTGCTCTATCACTTTTTACTTTATGATACTACCATCAATAAAACAATTGGACTTGATCTAATGATTACTGCTAACAGCTGGATGACTCCAGCTGTATGTTACTACCATCAATAAAACAATTGGACTTGATCTAATGATTACTGCTAACAGCTGGATGACTCCAGCTGTATGTTACTACCATCAATAAAACAATTGGACTTGATCTAATGATTACTGCTAACAGCTGGATGACTCCAGCTGTATGTTACTACCATCACTGTTCACTCCATTCGACACCACTTACCTCTTACACGGTCAACCAACAACTGCCCCTATCTCATTTGTCCTTCAAACCCCTTGTTCTCCTCCCACAGGATTTGGTTTTGTAATTGTTCTGTATCACACGTGAATATCACTTACTTTGCTTTACCTGTTTTTCACTGGGCTGTAAAACTGCTACGTCAGAAAACCCTTCAAACCTCCCTGGGAATTCCTCTCATAATATTTCTATGTCTGGACCTTCAACTTCAACACAGATCATCAACATTTCTATGTCTGGACCTTCAACTTCAACACAGATCATCAACATTTCTATGTCTGGACCTTCAACTTCAACACAGATCATCAACATTTCTATGTCTGGACCTTCAACTTCAACACAGATCATCAACATTTCTATGTCTGGACCTTCAACTTCAACACAGATCATCAACATTTCTATGTCTGGACCTTCAACTTCAACACAGATCATCAACATTTCTATGTCTGGACCTTCAACTTCAACACAGATCATCAACATTTCTATGTCTGGACCTTCAACTTCAACACAGATCATCAACATTTCTATGTCTGGACCTTCAACTTCAACACAGATCATCAACATTTCTATGTCTGGACCTTCAACTTCAACACAGATCATCAACATTTCTATGTCTGGACCTTCAACTTCAACACAGATCATCAACATTTCTATGTCTGGACCTTCAACTTCAACACAGATCATCAACATTTCTAGATCATCAACATTTCGATGTCTAGACCTTCAACTTCAACATAGATCATCAACATTTCTATGTCTGGACCTTCAACTTCAACACAGATCATCAACATTTCTATGTCCAGACCTTCAACTTCAACATAGATCATCAACATTTCTATGTCTGGACCTTCAACTTCAACACAGATCATCAACATTTCTATGTCAGGACCTTCAACTTCAACATAGATCATCAACATTTCTATGTCAGGATTGTCAACTTCAACATAGATCATCAACATTTCTATGTCTGGACCTTCAACATAGATCATCAACATTTCTATGTCTGGAACTTCAACATAGATCATCAATATTTCTATGTCTGGAACTTCAACACAGATCATCAACATTTCTATGTCTGGACCTTCAACTTCAACACAGATCATCAACATTTCTATGTCTGGACCTTCAACTTCAACACAGATCATCAACATTTCTATGTCTAGTACACACAGTAGCTACTGATCGATGTATGTGTCCTGACTATAGTACACACAGTAGCTACTGATCGATGTATGTGTCCTGACTATAGTACACACAGTAGCTACTGATCGATGTATGTGTCCTGACTATAGTACACACAGTAGCTACTGATCAATGTATGTGTCCTGACTATAGTGCACACAGTAGCTACTGATCAATGTATGTGTTGACTATAGTACACATAGTAGCTACTGATCAATGTATGTGTTGACTATAGTAGACACAGTAGCTACTGATCGATGTATGTGTTGACTATAGTACACACAGTAGCTACTGATCAATGTATGTGTCCTGACTATAGTACACACAGTAGCTACTGATCAATGTATGTGTCCTGACTATAGTGCACACAGTAGCTACTGATCAATGTATGTGTCCTGACTATAGTACACACAGTAGCTACTGATCAATGTATGTGTTGACTATAGTGCACACAGTAGCTACTGATCGATGTATGTGTTGACTATAGTACACACAGTAGCTACTGATCAATGTATGTGTTGACTATAGTACACACAGTAGCTACTGATCAATGTATGTGTCCTGACTATAGTACACACAGTAGCTACTGATCGATGTATGTGTCCTGGCTATAGTACACACAGTAGCTACTGATCGATGTATGTGTCCTGACTATAGTGCACACAGTAGCTACTGATCAATGTATGTGTTGACTATAGTACACACAGTAGCTACTGATCAATGTATGTGTCCTGACTATAGTACACACAGTAGCTACTGATCGATGTATGTGTCCTGGCTATAGTACACACAGTAGCTACTGATCGATGTATGTGTCCTGACTATAGTACACACAGTAGCTACTGATCGATGTATGTGTCCTGACTATAGTACACACAGTAGCTACTGATCGATGTATGTGTCCTGGCTATATAGTACACACAGCTATAGTACTACTGATACGATGTATGTGTCCTGACTATAGTGCACACAGTAGCTACTGATCGATGTAGCTACTGTGTATGTCCTGGCTATAGTACACACAGATAGCTACTGATCAATGTATGTGTACTGATGTCCTGACTATAGTACACATAGTAGCTACTGATCGATGTATGTGTCCTGACTATAGTACACACAGTAGCTACTGATCGATGTATGTGTCCTGACTATAGTACACACAGTAGCTACTGATCGATGTATGTGTCCTGACTATAGTACACACAGTAGCTACTGATCGATGTATGTGTCCTGGCTATAGTACACACAGTAGCTACTGATCGATGTATGTGTTGACTATAGTACACATAGTAGCTACTGATCGATGTATGTGTTGACTATAGTACACATAGTAGCTACTGATAGTAGCTACTGATCAGTAGATGTATGTGTCCTGACTATAGTCCTGACTATAGTACACACAGTAGCTACTGATCAATGTATGTGTCCTGACTATAGTACACACAGTAGCTACTGATCGATGTATGTGTCCTGACTATAGTACACACAGTAGCTACTGATCGATGTATGTGTCCTGACTATAGTACACACAGTAGCTACTGATCGATGTATGTGTTGACTATAGTACACACAGTAGCTACTGATCGATGTATGTGTTGACTATAGTACACATAGTAGCTACTGATCGATGTATGTGTTGACTATAGTACACATAGTAGCTACTGATCGATGTATGTGTCCTGACTATAGTACACACAGTAGCTACTGATCAATGTATGTGTCCTGTATAGTGTAGCTACTGATCGATGTATGTGTCCTGACTATAGTACACACAGTAGCTACTGATCGATGTATGTGTCCTGACTATAGTACACACAGTAGCTACTGATCGATGTATGTGTCCTGACTATAGTACACACAGTAGCTACTGATCGATGTATGTGTCCTGACTATAGTACACACAGTAGCTACTGATCGATGTATGTGTCCTGACTATAGTACACACAGTAGCTACTGATCGATGTATGTGTCCTGGCTATAGTACACACAGTAGCTACTGATCGATGTATGTGTCCTGACTATAGTACACACAGTAGCTACTGATCGATGTATGTGTCCTGACTATAGTACACACAGTAGCTACTGATTGATGTATGTGTCCTGGCTATAGTACACACAGTAGCTACTGATCGATGTATGTGTTGACTATAGTACACATAGTAGCTACTGATCGATGTATGTGTCCTGACTATAGTACACACAGTAGCTACTGATCAATGTATGTGTCCTGACTATAGTGCACACAGTAGCTACTGATCAATGTATGTGTTGACTATAGTACACATAGTAGCTACTGATCGATGTATGTGTTGACTATAGTACACACAGTAGATCTACTGATCAGTAGCTACTGATCAATGTATGTGTGTACACACAGTGACTGATATAGTACACACACAGTAGCTACTGATCAATGTATGTATGTGTCCTGATCAATGCTATAGTACACACAGTAGCTACTGATCAATGTATGTGTCCTGACTATAGTACACACAGTAGCTACTGATCAATGTATGTGTCCTGACTATAGTACACACAGTAGCTACTGATCATGTATGTGATATAGTACACACAGTAGTACTGACTATGTATGTGTCCTGACTATAGTACACACAGTAGCTACTGATCAATGTATGTGTCCTGACTATAGTACACACAGTAGCTACTGATCGATGTATGTGTCCTGACTATAGTACACACAGTAGCTACTGATCTATGTATGTGTCCTGACTATAGTACACACAGTAGCTACTGATCAATGTATGTGTTGACTATAGTACACACAGTAGCTACTGATCAATGTATGTGTTGACTATAGTACACACAGTAGCTACTGATCTATGTATGTGTTGACTATAGTACACACAGTAGCTACTGATCAATGTATGTGTCCTGACTATAGTACACACAGTAGCTACTGATCAATGTATGTGTTGACTATAGTACACACAGTAGCTACTGATCAATGTATGTGTCCTGACTATAGTACACACAGTAGCTACTGATCAATGTATGTGTTGACTATAGTACACACAGTAGCTACTGATCAATGTATGTGTTGACTATAGTACACACAGTAGCTACTGATCAATGTATGTGTTGACTATAGTACACACAGTAGCTACTGATCAATGTATGTGTTGACTATAGTACACACAGTAGCTACTGATCAATGTATGTGTTGACTATAGTACACACAGTAGCTACTGATCAATGTATGTGTTGACTATAGTACACACAGTAGCTACTGATCAATGTATGTGTTGACTATAGTACACACAGTAGCTACTGATCAATGTATGTGTCAATGACTATAGTACACACAGTAGCTACTGATCACACAGTGCTATGTATGTGTTGACTATACTATAGTACACACAGTAGCTGACTAGAGTAGCTATGTATGTATGTGTGACTATAGTACACACAGTAGCTACTGATCAATGTATGTGTTGACTATAGTACACACAGTAGCTACTGATCAATGTATGTGTTGACTATAGTACACACAGTAGCACTGACTATAGTACACACAGTAGCTACTGTATGTATGTGTCCTGACTATAGACACACAGTAGCTACTGTATGTATGTGTTGACTATAGTACACACAGTAGCTACTGATCAATGTATGTGTTGACTATAGTACACACAGTAGCTACTGATGTATGTATGTGTTGACTATAGTACACACACTACTAGCTACTGATCGATGTACTGTACACACAGTAGCTACTGATATGTATGTGTGTTGACTATAGTACACACAGTAGCTACTGATCAATGTATGTGTTGACTATAGTACACACAGTAGCTACTGATCGATGTATGTGTCCTGACTATAGTACACACAGTAGCTACTGATGATGTATGTGTATGACTGTTGAGCTACTGATCGATGTATAGTACACACAGTAGCTACTGATCAATGTATGTGTCCTGACTATAGTACACACAGTAGCTACTGATCAATGTATGTGTCCTAGACTATAGTACAGTACACACAGTAGCTACTGCTACTATGATCTACTGATGTATGTGTCCTGACTATAGTACACACAGTAGCTACTGATCGATGTATGTATGTGTCCTGACTATAGTACACACAGTAGCTACTGATCGATGTATGTGTCCTGACTATAGTACACACAGTAGCTATGTATGTGTTGATCGATGTATGTGTCCTGACTATAGTACACACAGTAGCTACTGATGATGTATGACTGTACACATGTGACTACTGATCAATATGTGTTGACTATAGTACACACAGTAGCTACTGATCGATGTATGTGTGTTGACTATAGTACACATAGTAGACTACTGATCGATGTATGTGTCCTGACTATAGTACACACAGTAGCTACACACAGTATGTATGTGTCCTGACTATAGTACACACAGTAGCTACTGATCGATGTATGTGTCCTGACTATAGTACACACAGTAGCTACTGATCGATGTATGTGTCCTGACTATAGTACACACATAGCTACTGATCGATGTACTGACTATCAATGTAGCTAGTGATGTATTATCTCTGCACATGCTACACAGAGTGCAAGCAATGATACACTGTGGTATGACTTACTTGCTTGTAGAGGTAGGCACATAGGTCCTGACTATACACACAGTAGCTACTGATCGATGTATGTGTTTGACTATAGTACACACACAGTGCTTGATAGAGGTAGGCACACAGGTAATACTTACCTGCTTGTAGAGGTAGGTACAGGTACTCAATGTACAGGTACATAGTTACCTGCTTGATCAGAGGTAGTGCACACAGGCTACTGATCAATGTAATACTGCTTGTAGAGGTATGTGCATACAGTGCACACAAGCTACTGATATGTATTGTCCTGACTATAGTGCTAGCTACTGAGAGTGTCCTGACTATAGCACACAGTAGTAATACTGACTATGTAGTACACAAGTAGCTACTGATCGATGTATGTGGTATACACACAGTAGCTACTGATCGATATTGGCAGATCGAATGACTATAGTGCACACTCAGTACTGATCGAAATGGTCTGACTATAGTGCACATAGTAGCTACTGATCAATGTGAGTGCTATTATCTCTGCACATGCACAGAGTGCAAGCAATGATACACTGTGGTATACTTACTTGCTTGTAGAGGTAGGCACATAGGTAATACTTACTTGCTTGTAGAGGTAGGCACACAGGTAATACTTACCTGCTTGTAGAGGTAGGACAGGTAATCATCACAACCAAAGGCTTGTAATAGACAATCTTATGTAGAGGTAGGCACACAGGTAATACTGTAGTTTGGGACTCTGTCTATTGGCAGATAATGCCTCAGTAAAAATCTGAAAAAAAAAACAAGAGGTATCAAAAGACTATCATCACAACCAAAGGCATCAATAGACAATCATCACAACCAAAGGCATCAATAGACAATCATTACGACAACAGGTATCAATACTCTTTTATCACAACAATAGGTATCAATACTCTCTTATCAAAACAACAGGTATCAAGAGATTCTCATCACAACAACAGGTATCAATACTCTCTTATCACAACAACAGGTATCAATACTCTCTCATCACAACAACAGGTATCAATACTCTCTTATCACAGCAACAGGTATCAATACTCTCTTATCACAACAACAGGTATAAATACTCTCTTATCACATCAACAGGCATCAATACTCTCTTATCACATCAACAGGTATCAATACTCTCTTATCACAACAACAGGTATCAATACTCTCTTATCACAACAACAGGTATCAAGAGATTCTCTCATCAACACAAAAGATATCAATAGATTCTCTCATCCCAACAACAGGTATCAATATTTTCTCTCATCACAACAACAGATATCAAAAGATTCTCTCATCACAACAGGTATCAACAGATTCTCTCATCACAACAACATATGTCAAAAGATTCTCTCATTACAACAACAGGTATCAATAGATTCTCTCATCACAACAACAGGTATCAAGAAATTCTCTCATCACGACAACAGGTATAAATACTCTCTTATCACAGCAACAGGTATCAATACACTCTTATCACAACAACAGGTATCAATACTCTCTTATCACAACAACAGGTATCAATACTCTCTTATCACAACAACAGGTATCAATAGATTCTCTCATCACAACAACAGGTATCAATAGATTCTCTCATCACAACAACAGGTATCAATAGATTCTTTCATCACAACAACAGGTATCAATAGATTCTCTCATCACAACAACAGGCATCAATAGATTCTCTCATCACAACAACAGGCATCAATAGATTCTCTCATCACAACAACAGGTATCAATAGATTCTCTCATCACAACAGGCATCAATAGATTCTCTCATCACAACAACAGGAGGTATCAATAGATTCTCTCATCACAACAACAGGTATCAATAGATTTTCTCATCACAACAACAGGTATCAATAGATTTTCTCATTACAACAACAGGTATCAATTGATTCTCTCATCACAACTTGAACAACAATTCCAGATCCCTGACTAGTTTCACAGGTTCAAGTTGAATGTTCTGTGTCCACCGTCATTATCACAAAGACATACATAGAACACACAGACAAACACAGAAAGCACAAAGGGACAAAAGTACAAACCCTCTTAACCATGTCCTTGTCATCAACAGAAGCACACAGGTCAGCCAGCAGCAGCCACACATCCACTAGGTTGCTGTCTTTGAGCACATGTCTGCAGGTAGCCAAGGCATCTTCAGGCCTGAATTAAACATGAGTTTCAACATTACGTCCCTCTAAACCTGGTGATAACTGTATGGTACAACATAAGTTCCAACATTACGTCCATGTAAACCTGGTGATAACTGTATGGTACAACATGAGTACCAACATCACATCCATGTAAACCTGGTGATAACTGTATGGTACAACATGAGTAGCAACATCACATCCATGTAAACCTGGTGATAACTGTATGGTACAACATGAGTACCAACATTACATCCATGTACGACAGGTACAAACTGTAGAGTACAACAATAACATTCATACCTTTCTCACATGAACTGTGAGAAACAGCATGTAGCTCCACCAATTGCTTTATGACAAAGCACACCAATAAAAATAACTCCAAAGGGTAGCATGCGCAGCAGGGGTCCACCATCATCAGTAGAAAGATCCTTTGTCGATAATGGTTTCGGTCCATTACTTCCTATACAATCTTGGAAGGTGGGCCCTACCTGGGTCATGGCTCCAAGCCTCAATATTTCCCTGCTGCACATTATCGCACTCAACAGGGACAAGATGATATAGTCATTTTGCAACAGGTGTTGCAAGATTTAGTGTTATCTTGTCTAGATCAGTTGACTTCCTTCACAGAGTGACAATCTTATGGTTGGTTCATCGAACATTTGTTAGATTTTGGCATTTGGCAGAGAGACACCGGCAGACATTTATCAGACACCTTGGCTTTTAAGGGATAAAAAGCTCTTTCCCCCTAGGGATTCAGACCTGTCTACCGAGGCCCATCCCCCACTACGTCCCGTTGCGCCCAGAGCCAGCTCGAGGCTCTTTCAGCAGCTTCGCCCAGTTGTTTTAGTGACCATTTATGCTCATTTCCTCACAAGCCCAGCTGCTTCAGCACATTGTACGTGAAAGTGGAGATAAAACTTTTTGAGCCTACCTTGATGGCAAAGGATTTTACTGTGTATGCTTTGTCTCTCCTCAGACTGGCTAGAGCTCACAGTACTTTTTGAGCTTGTACTGGTGATTTTTTTAAATCTGGCATCATCATCAGGTGCCTTGCCGACTGGCGTGGGCGATCCAGCCTTGAGGAAGCGAATGGGGGTGACGATAGGACTGGCCCTTGGATCAGCCCTCATCCTGGTTTGGTCCACAATATCCGCTCTTTCAGGACTTTATTGTGGCGCTAAATACATTATCCCTGGTCCAGGACTTTCCTACAGGCGGACAATACACGCTCGAGCGTCTGCTTAACTATGCACAGTGGGCATGTCGGATCGGTAGTCCCATGCCATCTCACCATGTTGACGCCAGACGGTAACACATCTTACACAGATCTTACGACAAAGTTCAGCCGCAGCAGGACCATTCGCCAGATCTCATCCCATGGCAAGACCCTCTTGAGGCTGATCTACTGGCCTTGCTGCGACCACTGCACGTCTTTTTGGACCTGAATCTCATTTTTGGCTTCCCTTATCTTCTGTATTACCATGTCTTTGCGCTCTTTAGCCGAGGCTTTGGACCCCCAACTGACTTTCCTATGCCCTAGGCTGCATCGGTCGGTTTGTGTTTAACCCATGACTTCTTCCAATTTCAATGCTTCTTGAGCAGATTTTATCACATCAAGGACTTTCCATTTCTTACATGTCTTTAGAGCGCACTGGACAGCTGTCACCATGGGGTCTAAAGACTCGAGCAGCATTATCGCGAGTTTTAACTTGCCGACTTAACCTCTTCAGTTATTGACTTGAAGTACTAGCTTAGCTTAGCTTAACAATACAGAGCCACATCGGTCAGATAAGGCAGTGCCCCAAGTCATTTCCTCATGGCAGTGTTGATTTTTTGCTCCATCATTTCCACTGCAGTCATACTCACATCGTACACGAGCAGCAGCCAGCTTTAGAAGCAATATGAATTGGAGGCACCAGATCTTGAACTTCCCAATCAGCCTGAATCGCTCAATCGTAAGCAGGCCTGTAGCCAGTGACCCATGTATGCGCCGGACTTCTGCTTCATCAGATAACTTCGAATCGTAGACACTGCTGAGGCTCTTCACTGGCTCCTCCACAACCATAGGATGAGTTTCTTTGCCACTGTAAAACTGGCTGCCGCTTTTTTACTCATAAGTTTCGACAAACTTCTTGATTTCTGTGGTTTGAACTTCATGCCACACTATTCGACAACGCAGTCTAACCTTTTTAGAATCGTGCGAGCATCATCCTCACTGCCCTTTATGATAGCAGTATCACCCATAAGTGCAGGTAGTGGCGGCATCCAGTGGTCTTTAAACAGAAGGCCTTGTCTAACATGACCTGCATGGCCATTACAAACAGTACTGGTGTTATCGTGCATCCCGCTGCTATCACAACCTGGAGTTCAGTCCATCACGTAGTAAACGTTTGGGTAGAGAAGCATATGGTGAACTTTGAGAAATATTGCTCGATCATTTCTTTTATCTGTGTCGGTACGTGATACATACGAAGGGCCTGCCACAAGAGCTTATAGGGTACTGCTCCATAGGCCTTGGCGAGGACCAACCCTATCACGTGCAACTGCATTCTTTGCCTTTGTTCTCTGAATACTTTCCCAGATTATGGTCACACGTTCAAGGCACCGGGGAATGCCCGGGATTCCACCTTTCTGAACCGTTGTGTCAATGTACGTGAGCCAGCGTGCCACAACCCAGAACATTGTTCAGCACTGAATCTGTAGTGAGAAACTACCATATTGGCAATACCCTGTTTCTGAACCGTTGTGTCAATGTACGTGAGCCAGCCTGCCACAACCGAGAACATTGTTCAGCACTGAATCTGTAGTGAGAAACTACCATATTGGCAACACCCTGTTTCTGAAGGCATAAATTCAGGGGAAACAATTTCTTAGAATTTTGCCGGGAAACCAAAAATGAAACAGTAGAAGCTGTAAAGAGTAAAAGATGGGCCAAGACCAAGTAAATGAAGGTTGCAAGCAGTGCGCTAGGCACAAGAAAATAGAAAGTGAACATCTGGGAGGAAGTTGGACATAGGGAAAAACAGAACATGAAAGTAAATCAGAATATAGATCAGCAGTGAATCTGTAGTGAGACAGTAGAGTAGAACAAAGCTGAATGGTTTTTTTGGCAGCTAGCCCCAAAAATAGAAGAGAAATGGTCAGCTCTACAGTAGTGTCAGCTGTGACTAAGACACCCCCCTACTGACCTGTTCTGGGACTTCAACAGAGACACTTGGCTCTCAATGAGCTTCACATAATACACTGTGGTCTCCTCATCTTTGAGACTCTTGTGCCAGACCAGGGCTGCCTTGTTGTGTAGCTTGACCAGGTGCCCTAGCGTGGAACACAGGGAAGACTTGAGGCTCCAGGGCAGGCTGATGGATTCCTGCAAAGTCAACAATGGCACTCCCATAGCAACAAGTCATTCTTAGTCTTCTAGTTTACACTCAGAGATAGTCACAACCATTTAGTTTACATGATCACTCAGAGACAACTACAAGCATTCTTAGTCTTCTAGTTTACACTCAGAGATAGTCACAACCATTTAGTTTACATGATCACTCAGAGACAACTACAAGCATTCTTAGTCTTCTAGTTTACACTCAGAGATAGTCACAACCATTTAGTTTACATGATCACTCAGAGACAACTACAAGCATTCTTAGTCTTCTAGTTTACACTCAGAGATAATCACAACCATTTAGTTTACATGATCACTCAGAGACAACTACAAGCATTCTTGTCTTCTAGTTTACACTCAGAGATAGTCACAACCATTTAGTTTACATGATCACTCAGAGACAACTACAAGCATTCTTGTCTTCTAGTTTACACTCAGAGATAGTCACAACCATTTAGTTTACATGATCACTCAGAGACAACTACAAGCATTCTTAGTCTTCTAGTTTACACTCAGAGATAGTCACAACCATTTAGTTTACATGATCACTCAGAGACAACTACAAGCATTCTTGTCTTCTAGTTTACACTCAGAGATAGTCACAACCATTTAGTTTACATGATCACTCAGAGACAACTACAAGCATTCTTGTCTTCTAGTTTACACTCAGAGATAGTCACAACCATTTAGTTTACATGATCACTCAGAGACAACTACAAGCATTCTTGTCTTCTAGTTTACACTCAGAGATAGTCACAACCATTTAGTTTACATGATCACTCAGAGACAACTACAAGCATTCTTGTCTTCTAGTTTACACTCAGAGATAGTCACAACCATTTAGTTTACATGATCACTCAGAGACAACTACAAGCATTCTTGTCTTCTAGTTTACACTCAGAGATAGTCACAACCATTTAGTTTACATGATCACTCAGAGACAACTACAAGCATTCTTAGTCTTCTAGTTTACACTCAGAGATAGTCACAACCATTTAGTTTACATGATCACTCAGAGACAACTACAAGCATTCTTGTCTTCTAGTTTACACTCAGAGATAGTCACAACCATTTAGTTTACATGATCACTCAGAGACAACTACAAGCATTCTTGTCTTCTAGTTTACACTCAGAGATAGTCACAACCATTTAGTTTACATGATCACTCAGAGACAACTACAAGCATTCTTAGTCTTCTAGTTTACACTCAGAGATAGTCACAACCATTTAGTTTACATGATCACTCAGAGACAACTACAAGCATTCTGGTCTTCTAGTTTACAGTCACTCAAAGACAAACTAAGTCATTCCTGATCATCTATTTTACATTATGTGTTTCATTATATGTGATAAACCTAGACATCTCAACAATGCCAGAGATTAACCTAGACATCTCAACAATGTCAGAGATTAACCTAGACATCTCAACAATGTCAGAGATAAACCTAGACATCTCAACAATGACAGAGATAAACCTAGAGATCTCATCAATGCCAGAGATTATAACCTAGACATTTCATTAATGCCAGAGATTAACCTAGACATCTCAACAATGTCAGAGATAAACCCAGACATTTTAACAAAGTTGCAGTCAAAACTATAAATCTTAACCATGCTACATGTAATGATGTTATAAATAGGGATAATGTCAGGGGATGATTGGCATAACTGGGGAAGTCCCTGAGAGCATGTGTTTCACGGAGATATGGTGAAACGACAGGAAAGAGTGTGTCACGTGTGAATGAGGAGATCTGGGGGATTGAGAATCAGGCGGGCATTCGGTGACTGGGCCCCAGAGAGAAAGGATGGAAAATGAAGCTGTGAAGATGAATGGAGAATGACTAGAGCATGTGGATCTGAATCGGCGAGGAATGAATGATCGAGAAGGCCAGCTGTGAATGGTACCCTGTTTGATTGTCAAAGCCAGCTGTGAATATGTCAACGTCTATTGTCCGAATGCTGTAAGTGGATTCACACCTGTGATTTGTGTATTGAGCTAACGTGTAAATAAACTCGTGAAATGTGCCGCTGGTGTTAACCGTTGTTAGACGTTGTGTGACCATGAAGAGGATCATGTCTGCTTGATTGAGTTGTAACCCTCTAGATATCAGAGCCAGTGTTAACTCTGCACCATAGATAGCCAGTGTAGAGGAGACACAAAAGGGCAGTCATTACATTGGGGACCCGTCCTAAGTGCGAATACATTGTAAGTTATAAATATGAGTTACAGTGCAGGCATGTTATAACTATGCCAGTACATTATACGTAGTGTTTTTGTGGACAGAAATAAAATTTAGGCAAACACCGGCAGCCGTAAGTTTTGAGTGACTATGTGTGTTGGAAGATGGAGTTTAAAGAAATGTCGGGGTATTATGTAAGACCAGGACATGCTGTCAAGGGCATTAAGTAAAACCGGGACAACTGAATTCCAGACTCTAGTCATTCTGAAACAAACAAGCTAGCCTGAGAAAAATGGGCAGAAACACGGCGAAGCAATACTGGGTAATGTATTCACTTCACGTGTGAAAAAATTGTACACGTTTCATCCCGCGGGAACGCTTGTTCGTCGCTGGAAGAGACTGTAAGCTGAACTTTTGACCCTTGTGGTGGGTAATCCATGACGGAAAATTGTCAGCAACGGTATCCCTGTGACGGTTGTTTGACGTGGGTTTTGTTCGTCAAACAAGGTCAAAAACCAGAGATACGAATTTTCGGACTAGATTTCACCGCAAGAACACTGCATTGCCAGGGGCCAAGACGGCACTCAGTTACAGCGAGCAGGGTCATCGGCAACGGTCAAGTAGTACAACACAGTAGCAGATAAAACGTCATCAGCGACAGCTAACTGGAGGCAACCGTACAGCACACCGTCCACAAGTGAATGCCTCAGGTCATGAATACTTGTCAATAAAAAAGAACGGGGTCCAGTCAGCACCAGTAGTACTTTTACTACTAAATGTTTGTAATACATCCGTATAGGTGAGTTTAAGTGTGTATTGTGTAGGCAAGGAAGGAGTGGTGTTTATCAACATTAATTACGTCACGAAATGTTTACAATTTATAAAGGATAGACAGTAAAAACAGTGATTAATGTGATAGACTATGACTATTCAGGTTGTAGAGTAGAACTACATACATTCTTTGTAAAAAAAGTATTTCAGTGATAATCTAACATTTATCAACAGTTTGTGGTGACTATTAAAGTGAAATTAATATGCGCTAACTGTGAACATTTAGTGATCTGTGCCAACTGATCAACTTTAGTGTAGATTGCTAAACTACATGGTATAAAGACTTTTGGACATATTTGAATTATTGAATGAGCATAAACTAATGGTAGTCTTTTGAGATCATCTGCAGACTTAGACCACGACAGAAGACAAGAGCAGTGTCCTACAAAGATCAGAAGAGCGTGTCCAGAGACAGTAAAGACGTGCAGTGCAGCATCAAGGGCCACAAACCTAATCCAGTCCATTCCAACAGCAGAAGAGCAAGGGAGCCATCACCAGGACCAAGGAAAAAGAATCAACTCATTACATTGTTACATGCTTTCTTTGTTCTATTTTCAGGTTCTTTGATTGTGATATTCTATTGTTCTATTTAAGTAAAATAGATAATTTTTTTTTTTAAATTTATTAGTTGAGTATAAAAATTAGTTAGGGGATATAATTAAATTTAAAATCTCAATTATTTAGTTAAAGTAGGGTATAAATTAAATAATACGGGATTTATCTTAAAGTTAAACAGTTTCAAAAGTAATAAGTTACAATAATCAGTTTAAAATGTCAAAACTAGCAGAATACATAAATCTGGGAAAACAGTTAGGGTTATCAGGAGAGGAATTGAGAAAATTCTGTGAAGGAAGAGAACAGGAAGATAAAGAAGCACAAAGGGTTCAACAACAATTGGATCATCAAGAAAGGGCCGCAGCATGCGCCCAGGAAGCAGAAGCACGTGCCCACGAAGCAGCAATGAAACAGCAAGAGGCAGCACTGAGAGAAAAAGAATTACAGCAAGAAGCAGAACAGAAAGAAAAACAGTTACAGCATGAAGCAGCAATGAAACAGCAAGAGGCAGCACTGAGAGAAAAAGAATTACAGCAAGAAGCAGAACAGAAAGAAAAACAGTTACAGCATGAAGCAGCAATGAAACAGCAAGAGGCAGAATTGAGAGAGAAACAATTACAACAGGAAGCAGAAGCACGTGCCCAGTCATTACACTACAGAAAAACCATGATAATTCAATATCATGACAACAATACAGATATCAAAACAGTGCCATAATTAAATGTAGACATCACAGCAAAACAGAATTGCAGACATACCTTAGCCAAGAGCCTTCCAGGATTCTGATTGGCCCAGCTGTACATGGGTGGTAATTGGTGCCATTCAAGTACATAAATATAGGACATCCACAGTACAAGCAGGTCGGCTGAGGTTAGCCGCTCAGTGACATTCCATATGGAAGAGTCTGGTTTCTTCAGTCCAAGCACCATCTACATACAACAAATACGATAGAAATTGTTCTTACAACTTACCACTTCTTGTATACACATGCCACATGTACAGTTTTCTGCAACAACTTCAGTACAAGCATTTGTTGTCCTACAACTTCAGTGTGACGCCACACTCTTGACTTCGGAACGTGTTTTTCCTCAACTTAATTTCTGTCTATATATTTTAGGTTATAGAGGAAAACATTGCTTCTGGGCTGTAACCTAACTCAAGGTCATTCAGAACAAAGCTATTCAATTATCCTGGACTGCAGATGATATCAAACACTTAGAATCTTGCCCAGAGGCTTAGTGTTAACCCTTTGGAGACGGAGCCTTTTGAGAGTTTCAGTGCCAAGAAGACGAAGCCATCAGGAGGGGATTCCCATAGTTCATACACAAAAAAAGTACACAAAATAAAGCGCCTAATTAACTATATATATTCATGTAGGAAATTGAATTAACTAACAGAATATTTATTTAAACAAACTGAAATCTGAATATTTATTCAGAATAACTCTTCTGATTTGCATAATTAATGCAAGCAATTTTTTCAAAAATGGTAACAAACATAACTAACCTGAAAAATGTGGGTAATTTTTTTTTTTAATGCATGAAGCTTCAATAAGTCCTAACACCTGTATTTTGGAAAGTAAGGCCTTTTGAGGCCCTTTAGACATGTCTGGCACCTGGTTCTAATAATTTTCCTGCATCCGGCAATGTTTCGGTTGCAATGATGCAATAGTCTTTTTTGCCATATTTGGACACAAGATAACCCCAGAAAAAAATCAACGTAAAATTACAGAGCACATCAACCATCTTCACTACTGGTAACCATGATGTCACTAGCTATAAAAATGTTACAACTATCATCGATGTCTATAATCTATTAGAACCACAAGTATCCATAAATAACAACATGCCTCATTCACACAAGCCATGTAGCCACACATCTCACCCACAACAAGCATAACTCACCTACATTTAACCTGATATCTCACCCACAACAAGCATAACTCACCTACATTTAACCTGATATCTCATTCCATTGAGCCAACAACTAGCCTGATATCTCAACCACAGAAGACACAAATAGAGGGATATCACATTCTACAGAACCAACAATTAGTCTGATATCAAACCCATAGAACATATTTTTGGCTTGATATCTAACCCACAGAACCCATAATTAGCCTGATATCACACCCACAGAACAGATTATAAGCCTGGTATTTCACCCACAGAACCCATAATTAGCCTAACAGCTCACCCACAGAACCCATAATTAGCCTGACAGCTCACCCACAGAACCCATAATTAGCCTGACAGCTCACCCACAGAACCAATGTTTAGCCTGGTATTTCACCCACAGAACCCATAATTAGCCTGACAGCTCACCCACAGAACCCATAATTAGCCTTATATCTAACCCACAAAACCCATAATTAGCCTGACAGCTCACCCACAGAACCCATAATTAGCCTTATATAACTCACCCCCACAGAACCATACATTAGCCTGACTGCCACCCCACAGAACCCACAATTAGCCTTATATCTAACCCACAGAACCCATAATTAGCCGTATATCTCACCCACAGAACCCACAATTAGCCTTATATATAACCCACAGAACCCATATTAGCCTTATATTAGCCTGACAGCCTTACGTACCCACCCACAACATAACCCATAATTAGCCTTAGACTAACCCACAGAACCCATACATTAGAACCCACAGAACAAGATAATTAGCCTGGTATCTCACCCACAGAACCCATAATTAGCCTGACAGCTCCCCCACAGAACCCACAATTAGCCTTATATCTAACCCACAGAACCCATAATTAGCCTTATATCTCACCCACAGAACCCATAATTAGCCTTATATCTAACCCACAGAACCCATAATTAGCCTGACAGCTCACCCACAGAACCCATAATTAGCCTTATATCTAACCCACAGAACCCATAATTAGCCGTATATCTCACCCACAGAACCCACAATTAGCCCATATCCTAACCCACAGAACCCATAACAGCCTGTATCTCACCCACAGAACCCATAATTAGCCGTATATCTCACCCACAGAACCCACAATTAGCCTTATATCTAACCCACAGAACCCATAATTAGCCTTATATCTAACCCACAGAACCCATAATTAGCCTTATATCTCACCCACAATTAGCCTTATATCTAACCCACAGAACCCATAATTAGCCTTATATCTAACCCACAGAACCCATAATTAGCCTTATATCTAACCCACAGAACCCATAATTAGCCGTATATCTCACCCACAGAACCCATAATTAGCCTTATATCTAACCCACAGAACCCATAATTAGCCTTATATCTAACCACACAGAACCCCACCCATAATTAGCCTTATATCTAACCCACAGAACCCATAATTAGCCTTATTCAGAACCCACAATTAGCCGTATAACCCACAGAACCCAATTAGCCTTATATCTCACCCACAGAACCCATAATTAGCCTTATATCTAACCCACAGAACCCATAATTAGCCTGGTATCTCACCCACAGAACCCATTAATTAGCCTGGTATCTCACCCACAGAACAACCATAATTAGCCTTATATCTCACCCACAGAACCCATAATTAGCCTGGTATCTCACCCACAGAAACCCATAATTAGCCTTATATCTAACCCACAGAACCCATAATTAGCCTTATATCTCACCCACAGAACCCATAATTAGCCTTATATCTCTACCCCACAGAACCCATAATTAGCCTATATCTAACCCACAGAACCCATAATTAGCCTGGTATCTCACCCACAGAACCCATAATTAGCCTTATATCTAACCCACAGAACCCATAATTAGCCTGGTATCTCACCCACAGAACCCATAATTAGCCTTATATCTAACCCACAGAACCCATAATTAGCCTGACACCTATCTCACCCACAGAACCTCACCCGCCCGAACCCATAATTAGCCTTATATCTCACCCACAGAACCCATAATTAGCCTTATATCTCACCCACAGAACCCATAATTAGCCTTATATCTACCCCAGAACCCATAATTAGCCTGGTAGAACCACAGAACCCATAATTAGCCTTATATTAGAACCCATAATTAGCATGGTATCTCACCCACAGAACCCATAATTAGCCTGGTATCTCACCCACAGAACCCATAATTAGCCTGGTATCTCACCCACAGAACCCATAATTAGCCTTATATCTCACCCACAGAACCCATAATTAGCCTTATATCTAACCCACAGAACCCATAATTAGCCTTACATCTCACCCACAGAACCCATAATTAGCCTTATATCTAACCCACAGAACCCATAATTAGCCTGGTATCTCACCCACAGAACCCATAATTAGCCTTATATCTCACCCACAGAACCCATAATTAGCCTTATATCTAACCCACAGAACCCATAATTAGCCGTATATCTCACCCACAGAACCCATAATTAGCCTTTTATCTAACCCACAGAACCCATAATTAGCCTGGTATCTCACCCACAGAACCCATAATTAGCCTTATATCTAACCCACAGAACCCATAATTAGCCTTATATCTAACCCACAGAACACATTATTAGCCTTATATCTAACCCACAGAACACATTATTAGCCTTATATCTAACCCACAGAACACATTATTAGCATGGTATCTCACCCTCAGAACCCATACATTAGCCTGGTATCTCACCCACAGAACCCATAATTAGCCTGGTATCTCACCCACAGAACCCATAATTAGACTGACAGCTCATCCACAGAACCCATAATTAGCCTGATATCTCATCCACAGAACCCATAATAAGCCTGGTATCTCACCCATAGAACCCATAATTAGCCTTATATCTAACCCACAGAACACATTATTAGCATGGTATCTCACCCTCAGAACCCATACATTAGCCTGACAGCTCCCCCACACAACCCATAATTAGCCTGACAGCTCCCCCACACAACCCATAATTAGCCTGACAGCTCCCCCACACAACCCATAATTAGCCTGACAGCTCCCCCACACAACCCATAATTAGCCTTATATCTAACCCACAGAACCCATAATTAGCCTGATAGCTCACCAAAAAAAACATACAACTAGCACCCACAGAGCCCACAACCAGTATTATACATTATTTCACAGAGCCCACAACTAGCATGATATTTTACTTCACAGAGCCCACAATGAGCATGATACATTATTTCACATAGCTCACAACTAGCATGATACATTATTTCACAGAGCCCACAACTAGCATGATATTTTACTTCATAGAGCCCACAACTAGCATGATACATTATTTCACATAGCCCACAACTAGCATGATATTTTACTTCATAGAGCCCACAATGAGCATGATACATTATTTCACAGAGCCCACAACTAGCATGATATTTTACTTCATAGAGCCCACAATGAGCATGATACATTATTTCACATAGCCCACAACTAGCATGATACATTACTTTACAGAGCCCACAATTAGCTGAATCTCTCATCAACCAGATCCACAAACTATGGAAGATGTACACAACTGGCAGATAGACATTTCTGTGTTGAATGCACCTGACACAGACCAACTTCAACAGTGAACAACCAACCTGTATGAAATGTAGAGCAGTCTTGATCTTGCCAGCCTGCAGGTTGAGACAAGTCTTATAGAGCACCATCTCCAGCACTTGATGAGAAACCCGCTTCTGCTCCTGGCTCTGGCAAGTCTCTTTTTGTTGTTTAGTTGCTGCAGGACTTTTCCCCAACTCCTTTCGGTCATTCTGGTTTTTCTGGTCGTCTTGTATCTTTCTTGGGATGCTCTTCTGCTTCAGCTCAGATGCCTTTCTGGACTTTTGTTTGCTATCTGTTTGTTCTCTATCACAAAAGACAACTGGACTGTCACTGTCAGAAACTTCTTTGTGGTTTCTCTCAATCACTTCAGTGCTGTTGTTGACCTCAGACTGCATCTCTCTCTCTGGAACAGCTGTGGAAGAACT